AAAGCGAAAATCCGACCCAACCGCGTCTCGTCAAAATGTAATGAAGAAAGTGGTGTTGGTTCATGGTGTGCCCGAACTGAAACATGGCGACACCAGTGAAAGACAAAAACACGATATTGATGAGTGGCGCTACATCACAGAACTCTATGGCATGCAGAATGTTGCGGCATTCGACGTCAGCCGCTTAGCTTCCTCCCCAAACTATCAAGGGAGCGGGCCGAAAATTTTGAAAGTTACCTTGGCTACGCCGGAGATGGCATCAATGGCAATTAACGTGTGGCACCACAGCAGAAGGCTAAGACCACCAGAAGTACGACTGAGACCATTCCTGCAAGCAGTATAGACCACTGGTACAGTTGAGTCAGACCTGGCTTTTCCGACCATAGACCAGCCAAGCGTGCAAACACTCGTGTCAAAAAACTTGGGCAGACCGGCACTGTTTGTGCCGGTCAAACACAGCGAACCTACCTCCTAATGCGGCAACAAATGCAATGCTGCTACACAAACGCCCAAGGGCTTTACTCCAAGTTGCCGGAATTGCGCCATCGGCATGAAGCAGCAACTTGGGACATCATAGCATTAACTGAAACCTGGCTCTCAAGCGAGATTTTGGATCCAGAAATTGAACTTAGTGAAATGTCAGTCATTCGAAATGATCGTCCATCTCGCGGTGGTGGCGTTGCTATCTACTACCGAGATCACCTGAAATGTGAAGCTCTCACTGAGCATTCCCTCATTATCCCCGACGCCTTATTTTGCCGGTTGCAGCTATCCGGTCCCGATGGTTGTCCTCAGAAGAAGACACATGATGCTTGCCTCATAGCAGTTGTCTACAGGCCGCCGAACTCCTCCGCCGACAGCGATGATATTCTGTTAAATGCTCTCCAATATGCTATGTCGAAAAAGTACTCACACTACCTAATAATGGGTGACTTCAATGTACCGTCAATAGCATCTGTGTTCCCAAGTGGGCCATGCTTCAAATCAAAACTCCTTGAGTTCTTGACTATGGCAGTTTTGTATAACCATGTGGATCAACCAACCAGACACCGAGGTTCAAACAAGCCTTCAATACTTGATTTAATCCTGACTAATGAGGAGTTAATGGTTGAGTCGGTTTCATACAACCCCCCGCTAGGTTGTAGCGATCATTCAGTTCTAACGTTTGATTATGTGTGTTATGCCAGTATGGTTGACAAAGAACCAGAAACCCGACGATTCATCACCAACTATTCCAAGCTTCACACTATAGCGACAACCGTTGACTGGGACCTCCAGATGCACACTTCGGCGAATGATGCCTGGCAAGTGTTGAAAGGCAAGATAAACTGGGTCCTACAATCAGCTTCAAAAGACGTACCATTACGAGTTTCGCGACGGAGCAACAACTGGATCCGGAGTAGAACACGTAAGTGGTTGAATAGGCGAGACGAGGCTTGGAGGGGTCATTTGCTAGGTCCAAGTGATATCACGTGGAATCATTACAAAACAGTCAGAAACTACTGCACTTCACTCCTTAAAGCTGACAAGTACGAATGGCAGGAAACTATGGTACGCAAATTTACTAGCAATCACAAACTGCTCTACCGGTATGTGAATGACAAAAGGAAGGTTAGGACGGGAATACCACCACTAGAGACGGTCAATGGCCTAACGGTTACTGAAGAGGAGACCGCGGACGCATTGCTCATGCAGTTTATCTCAGTGACTAGACACACCATGGAACCATCGCCTTGCTACATCCCAGCAAATGTCGTCGGCTTATCCACGGTCAACTTTAGCCCTACATCTGTGGCAAAGAAATTACAGTCGCTCAGGGAAAATAGTGCGCCGGGAATTGACAAGATCTGTCCGAAAGTACTTTAAACCCTTGCACCCACCATGGCAGTCCACCTTGCAACCTTTTTCCAGTTTCTATTTGATTCTCATACACTTCTGTCTGAGTGGAAATGTGGACTTATCACTCCGATATACAAGGGAGGTAAGCGGTCAGACCCTGCCAACTACCGACCTATTACTCTCCTTCCTGTTCTATCAAAAGTGATGGAGTCTATAATCGCTGATGAAATGGTGAGATATTTTGAAAGTTTACAAATCATCTCCAACCTCCAACATGGATTCAGACGCGGAAGATCTTGCCTCACCAATCTACTACTTGCTCGGGACTCATGGACCAGGGCTGCTGACGAGGGAGTTCCCGTAGATGTGATTTACTTAGACTTTTCTAAGGCATTCGACAGAGTCAATCACCCAGCACTTCTCCGAAAGCTTGCGGCCTATGGTATCCACGGATCCTTGCTCACATGGTTGGGAAGCTACTTATACAACAGAAGAATCGAGGTAAGGATCGCCAACACCCACTCCGATAGCCTATGCGTCACTAGCGGCGTACCGCAAGGATCAGTTCTCGGCCCGTTACTCTTTTTAGTCTATATCAACGACCTCCCTGCCAACATTCAATCACCTATGCAAATAGTCGCCGACGGTGCTAAGATGTGGCGAGCTATTCAGTCAACATCTGACCCTGTCTATCTGCAGGGTGACCTGAACCGGATTCACGAATGGGCAGTAAACAACCAACTACCCCTGAACCCCGAAAAGTGTCACCTGTTGTCGCTGCGCAGTAACTGCAGCAACACATATCACCTGGAGCAGCGCGTTATAAAACAGGTGAGCAAGAAAGAGACTTAGGGGTCATCGTGCAAGAAGGTCTGGGTAATTCGCTCCAATGTTCAAAGGCAGCTAACATAGCGAACTTAAACTTGAGGCTTTTGAGGCTAGCGCTCGGTACCTTCGAGCGGCAACTCGTGCCATTATTGATTAACGCTTACATTCGTCCCCACCTCGAGTATGCGGTGCAGGCATGGCGTCCGTGGTTAAAACGGGACATTCGTCTCCTGGAGCAACCACAAAGAAGAGCCACTAAGGCAACACGTGGTCTATCGGGCCTTAGTTATGGACTGCGCCTTCGTTCGATCGGTCTGTACTCCTTAGAATACCGACGACTTCGCGGTGATCGGATCCTCACTTACCGGATACTAAGAAGAGGACCATCCATGTAAGTCGCTGTTAACATTATCTGCCGACAAACGATGCCGAGACCATGCACTAAAACTTGTGACTCAATATTCCCGTTTAGATTGTAGAAAGTTTTTTTACTCTCTTAGTGTCTGTCCGCACTGGAACGCACTGCCATCGCATGTGGTGAACGCAACAAACATCGAGACATACGAAAGACTATTGGACTTGCACTTACATGATACACATTATATAACGGTATGACAAACTGCAGTGTCTAACTTACTGATATTTTTGTGTCACACCTGAAACTTTTGTTTTCTTCCATTTGCCATCCTGTGGGTCTTGTAAAGTTATTGCTTTTTATCCCACCATACACTATTGAACTATTGAACTATTGAACCTCACTTAGAGGACGCGGTTACGAACTATTTGGAACATAAGAACAACAAAGAAAATTCGATCTAGTAACATAAAGTAGCCAACTTTTACAAGCTACGGTATTCTTCTCGATACTAAATAACACGTAGTTGCAGTTCCCAATTTCGGTTCCGCAGACTGTTAGTGCGTTAGCGTGTCTTTAATTGATTAAGATGGTAGAGAACTATTAAAGATAAATGTGACGAAACTAAACCACATGAATTTATACTGTCACGAAGAACACTAAAAACATACACCAGGTAGAATGAGGATATTGCACGCCATAAGCTTATGCTGGTGTTGACCTGACCTGCAAATGCAGAGAAGTGGTGACCATGTTTTAGTTAAACGGGAAACAGACGCTCATACCCACCATCTGTTTGGTGAAATTGAAAATTAGAATTACAATTTGACAAACAAGATGGTAAAAGATGATGTTCAAGGAATTCGGAATATCTCTACTAGTCAAGAAGTTGGCTGAGCAGTACCGGACATGGGATGCGATAGGCTGGACAAATACGTCTACCCACTAGAAAGAGCAAAGTGTACCACGGCAGATGTTGTTTGGTTGCTCTTAGTAAAACTGATAACTTTTCAAGAGAAACTACTAATAACTTACTGGCATATAAAAAGTTGTATGGCAAGGTTCCTGCTCACGGTCACTTAGTGTTCACCTTAATATGTCCATATCCGTTTTGAGGGCATCATCAAACGCAGTTCACTAAAACCACACAACCGCCCCACGCAATCGACCCAATTATCACCCTGCAGTTGTTAGTTCTGCGAATCACAACGTTTTAATGGGAACATGAACAGTTGGAACATAAATAGGTATGCTTACTCATGACCCACAGAATGCAACCTTCACCTTGTTGGTAGTTTCTCGTGTACAGTAGAAATGTTTCATATTATTCCTTGCCGTAGGTCAGCGACTGCACTTTCTTCGTAACTTATCTCCCACTCACCCTGACAGACGGATTGATGGCGGCTACCCTCTTGATGGCACCCTGCTGGTCACAGGACCATAACTGGGGCCGGTGAAACAAGCGTCACATGCGGTGACGAGCAAGACCAAGTTTGGCATAGGTGAAAGAAAGTTAGAACAGAAATTTATACGTCCACCTCGTTCAAACAAACGGTAAAAGGAACCTAAGTCCAAACTGATGGTGACACTTACTCTCCGTTTAAGTTCCACAAATCTGCTGGTTACCTAGCTGTCAGTGAGAAGAAGAAAAATTATCATACGAAATAAGCGGTTTGTTACTGGAAGGTGATCATATGAACTATACAAGGTGAGGGCTGGGGAGAAGAAACAAGTTTCCAAAAGCCGTAGATGGCAACGAATTTACACATGAGCAAAGACAACTTACATATGTTTAGGGTAAACACCGGTTCTGAGTTCAGTGAACGTGCTTAAAACAGGAGGGCAGTAAGCTCGGATTGAAAGCACTATGGCGGTGAGCGTAAATACACGAAATAGGCTAACTCAAGCAAACAATAATATGACAAAGATGTGACTTCTGTAAATGCCGTGACGATGTAATGTACGTCAGTTAGAGGTATTATATATCTTTTGTTCGAAATGAATGTTCTCGGTCAGGTATTGAGGTAGGTGACAATTGAGAGTCAAAGTCGGATGAACCGTGGGTGAAAGACGAATCGGAAGAGCGTGGACAGTTTGGCGCATACAGTGAAAACAGGGGAGGACCTTTGACAAAGGAGGGCGAAGAACATGTGTGAGTAGAATACATTCGTCTTAACTTACTTGACTCGGATTCTAAGCGCGCGTACTCTCGAGCTTTGCTAAGGTCCCAGTTGCATTTATGAAGTAGACGCTTGCAACGTGACAGTGATACGTACCCCCTTCGGTACAACAACTCCAATTTCAAACGTTTCACAGCGTGCTCATATTTGTAACCACACCCAATTAAGACAGCTTGGCATTCAGCTTGCGTTGCCTCGGGAACCTCCTCCTTTATCAGTTTAATCATTTCAATGTGTAATTCATCCGCCGCTTCCCGATTAACACTCGATTCAGCACGACGAAAATGCATTGTCGTGGGAATATTGAGGTAAACAGTGCTGGAATCGCCACTGGCAAGTGAGGGAGGAGGAACACGCTCACTTTGATGTCGCAGTAAAGCCGGTGTGCACTGAGCACTAAACGACCGAGGGGGGTCGAGTAGCCAATAATGTGTGTCACTTATCTTTATTCCATTTTGCACAACAGGATAAATCCTCACACTGAAACGATTGTGGTCAAGGCTGAATGACTTTTTATGTTCCACTACTTTAGTTGGAGGGGAGACGTCATTAGGAGGTTGGCAAGGTGAGCCAAAATAGAGTTTTTTCAAAACGGTGCTCCTGTTAGTAGCATCCGATGTCATAGGACTAATTCTAGGGGGCACTTGTGGGGGGCATGTTCCCCCAAGCACAGGGCTGCAACAGGAGGAAGGTTTCGGATCAAGTAACTTGGAGGTATTGACACAGCTACAGCCCACTGTATTATCTAACAATCTTATTGGAGAGATATCACTGGAATGATTATCATTTTGGTCATTAAAAGCGGTAACTAACTCTGATAATCCTCTACGGCGTGTTTTGACTCTTTTCCAATGGAAGGATCCATCTTGCTGCCACATCTTCGAGTTTGATGATTTACAGCAACACCAAGCTGGGAGAGCTCCGAGAGTGGCTACGCCCCGGTGAGTTTCTAAGCGTTCCAACGGCGATGCCTTCAAACTGGCCACACTGACAAAAGGACTACTGAGCCATGTAGGCCAAGCGTGAATTGTGGAATCACGTGGTGATGAGAAAGATCGCTGCAGGGCAGGAATTGTGGGAAAAATACGCGATATACCAAGTTGAAGATTTCTGAAGGGCTTCGATATTCCAATTTCATGCGAAGGTAGGATTTCTTCAGATGAAGAACATCTCACCGGACCAAAGTCATTGTTCGTTTCAGAATCCGTTTCCATAAATGGTTTCAAAATGCGTTGTTCCTGAAGTTCACAAACAACGGAGTACTGGCCTTCAGTGTGCTTATCACACTACCGCATTCACAGCTGACGTACTGAGGTTTCGTAAAAATGCAAGAAATGCAGTCATTTTGCCGAATCATTGCAGACCATCAAGTATTAAGATAAAGGAATATAAAAAATTCCACTCCAAGTGGAGATGAATGATAACAACCACCCCTGTTGCTGAAAGGAACCGCGATGCAAGTCGCTGAAACGAACTGTGGACGTATTAAGCAATCGACACAGGGCCGTTCGTGGAGCGCGCTTGTTTGCTACTCTGTTCCCTGGTTGGCTGACCTTTAACCATGATTGCCTTTCGATTGGTGGGTTTCAGTTCCAATCGATGGGTGTCACATTAGCACGCGAACAAGCGCAAGACTAACACGAAGGCCAGTCGCGCATAACGAGTGTGTGGATGAAGCCTGCGAACTGGAAGCAGGAAATCTAAGCAATCTAAGGCGAAATGTGAAGGGCTACAAGAAACGCTGGCGATTGCCCTTAAGTTCACAAATACAGCAGTAGGAAGTTATTTGTCTCAGAAAGGTGTAGGATCACGATTCATATTACTGAGATGAGAATTTCGTTATAACTGATCACGCAAGCAGTGACGTATGACTACGCACATCTCACGTAATTAGTGATGTGAATCATTTGCTACTGCTTGCCCATCATCATCAAGGATTTCTCGGTATGGGACGCAGCATTTTACGATGCACACACCATAGGTAACCTCTCAAAGCAGTCCTTCTGAGTACCTTAATTCAACCCCAACCCTAGTACGAATGAGCCGGACAGTGTTTCTTATATTTTTCCTAGGATTTGGTGCTCGATTAACTTCCTTCCTACATTGAACCATTGAATCAAATGAGTCAGGAGGGATAGGCTACCAACAGTATCCAACGGTAAAGTTCATTTAAATAAATTAACACCTGAATTAATAAACCCCGCAGTGTGTAGCACGGAAAGCATACTCTAATTACGGAGCGTGAATCGGTACAGGCTGCATTGGTCGCATCGAGTGATAATCTACTCATACCTACTAGAGTGTATTACCGCTCACTCCTCTTGTAACCCAACTCGTATCACCGAAACTAAGCCAAAAGTTTAAGTTCGAAAGATCTGAGTTCGAAACGATTTTGCACATTTCCATATTATGGCATCGTTTCGCTTTTGAGTCAGTCAGTTCCAACCGAGCTTTGGGATTTTGAATTGCTCATATTTTCATCATAATTTACGGTTAATCAAATATATCTTTGAATAGCTACAGGCATTCTGGGGGAAACAGCGTTTGTCCAAAACACTGAAGGAGACCGTCTTGAAAATGTCTAAGTTTTTGCCTAAGTTTCTTAAACGATGCCTAGAGGAGATGTAGGCCCCTAGTAGGTGTTCGTGCAACACCCTCTGAGAATCAGAAATTGAGTATGTGCTGCAATCCAAATCTATTTTGACCGAAACCAACATACTAGTTATAGAGCAATGTACGCTCCTTCGAGGGATTTCGAGTTAGTCTTCCTTGATAGAGATGCATCCAACCGAAACTTATTTTATTCATCTATTGAGCCGATTGATCGTGCAAACTTACATGGAGGTTATTACTCACATGTGTATGCGTTGCTGCTCCGCTGCCGGCGAACAATCGATCACGAACGCTATCGTGCCTGTTCATCCCGAATGCGTTGAACATCAACAGCTACCATTACACTGTCCTTATCAAAGGCGAAGTCACACCATACGTATTGACAACCAGGACAGTTGAGACATACTCACGAAACATAACCCGGCCGTTTTCCTGCTACCTTCGAAAGTCTTGCAGACTAGCATCGTAGTGGCATACATGGGATCGTTGTAATACCTGTTAAGTACCTGTTAAGTATCTGGCCGAACAAAAGCAAGCACTACAAAGGTAGGTATTTTACTTAATCTCCACGGATCTCATCAGCGGAGCCACTGTGCGGTGTGTGGAGACCTTTGCAATTAATTCAGAGCCGCGGTAATTACGCGTATATGCACAAGAAGGAAATAAAGCATTGTATGAGCATTCCCACTCACAGGATTTTTTCGAGTGCTCAACTCAGTCTCAATTTCATTTAATGTTCCCCATTATTCCTAGCCCTTTCTGCCAGTTAGTCTCTCATCCTTCTAAATCATTGCCAGCGACCATGCGAGAAGTTCTGATCACTCACCCCAATACTGGGAGACTCAGTGTAGTTAAAAAACCTATATTGAACAGTTAGATAAAGTTTTTTGCATTTTCGCATTGGTTATAAAACCTTGGAAAAACAACCAGTAACTTCTCTAGCTACTATTCAAAAACAATGACAAACGGCGTGCACTAACTAAAAACCGATTTTCCTGAGTACATGCGGTTGATTCGAATCAGATACCTCATTTCTATGCATGAGTAACTTGCCACTACCATATTGTATGTCACTAGAAAGCTCGGACATATTGCCTCCAGTACATACATTATTTTTTACAGGTATTTGTTGATTACCTCAAAATGTCCGCCAATTCCAGATTCTACCAAAATACCAGTAAAAGATTAGCAGAGCTGGTAAACAGGGCCACTACAAACAAAACTGGACCGGGTTCTATGTTCCGCTCGTTCCACACTCACTGACAGCATGGGTAAGTTTCCTGCAAGGCTAATGTTTGACAGTAATCTCAGAACGAGCGTGAGTCTACTGTTTGCTAATTCACGGGTGAGGTAGAGGAACGGCAGAAGCGGTTATTTTCATTAGATGAGTTGAAGAAGGGTATCATTTTCTGGAGGCATGATTAGGTCTACAACAGACGTTCACAAAAAGCACACTGGCAACCTGCCACAGGAATTTGTTTCTCGGGAAGCCAAAATGCTACCTTATTTCCAGACGGCTGGCTTATCCGGTGGAATTCTGGTCACATTCGTCCACGAATTGCAGACACGCCGAATGAGGCACAGACAGAGTTGTGTGCAGTCAAAGAACCAGACACAGAGGACGAATCGTGCGGACAGGCCAGTGAAACGCTGCCGAGACAATCGTTCTCGGCCGGGACTGTCAGTTGTTGAGTACACAGTGTTCTGTTTAGACATCTTTTTCTTACACTAGGGTTCTTGCTCTTATAGGGCATACACTCTCGGACGTTTAATTACAGTGAATAAAACGTACCATGTATCTGTTTAGCGTAGACAGTGAAACAATATAATACCACCGGCAGTAATCTATAGTCTGACGGTTTTTATAGCATGCAGTAAGAAACGTTACCAACAAATTGGATCGTACACCTAGGAACTCACTATGGCATTCACGTTACCACAAGTGTAGATTCGCCTACCTCGATTTCACCGTTGTGTTTTGTTGTTGCTCAATGGATCACATCGTATTCTTAAATGGCAACGTGGATACGGAAGTAACAGTTTGAAAACAAACTCCACGCCTAATCCATTCAGTTGAAAATACTTCCATGGTAGTCCACCCGGCTATACCATACAACCAGATTAACTCGTGACCCCTCGGTGTTTTGTTATGGTTAGTTATCAGTTGGTTGCAAAAATTGCAAACAAATTAATTCGTGCTGCATGGCCCTGGGGGCTGTTGGAAGTTACGCAGTACGCATAAGTGGTATGGCCGAGCAATTGGTTAGAATCGTGTCGCCCGACGCGAAGCAGACAATCTTGGAGGCGAATGTACTCGAGTCCAACATGGCTGTCGTTACCTTGAAACAGGGGAACCGGCTGACCGAAAGTGGGCCTCTACCGCTCAGCTGCCATGGAAGCGCTGTCTGTTTGCGCTCGGTTGTTGCCGCGTTACACTTGAGCCCGGCCATGTACTCTATCATCTGTAAGTATTACTCGGTATATACAAAGGATGGAAGACTCATATAAATTGTATAAGTAAATAAACCACATATTTATCAACGGTGAAAGGCACTGTCCAACTGAGTAGTCTGATCAATTTGTACAACGATATCACCTAAAATATTTGATTGATCATTTTTGTCCAACAGATCCCAAATAGGTTTTGAAGTACTTGTCACTTTCGAAGTAATAGAGCGATTAAGAAAATGGGATCAATAAAAATACAGGTTTAACCGAAAGTTCAATTGAAATAACACGGTAATCCATGGAACAGTTTCCAGGGGACCTGCTTCCATGCAGAGTACTCCCTCGACGGGTTTTACACGCACTTCCATGCTCCAACTGTCTGTGCCCCGGTGTGGCGAATTAGCAAATAAGCCATCACCTGTTTAACAAAGGCCGCTTTCCTACTAATGAGTAGACGGACTTGGTTATGATTCGATTTGATTCACCGCATTTAGACTCAAGGTCTCAAAGGTAAGCTGCCAACCCAGAAAAGTGCCAGACGCACTTTTCCCTATATTGAGGTTCATGAGTGGAATGTATTCTTCGATCCCCTACTGGGGATCGAACCCATGACCGCAAGAGGCTAAGGCCAACTAGCCAGCAGCTTGTGCCACTGAGCCAGGAGGGACGGCAGTCGACCATCCCGGATTAAAACCGAACTGTGGTATAGCCCGACCCATCCTCCACCATCAGGCACATTACTGCCCGTGCAGAGGACAGTGCTTGGCCATCCGGGTCAGGACTTCCCTTGCCAACTAGGCAGCAGCTGATGCCCCCGACCAGATGAAACACACGTCTGGTGCTTCTCTAGATTTGTAGGTTAGCATTGCTGCCTAAAATCTAATTGCGATGAACCAAATCGAATCATACCCAGATAGGTCTACTCATTGGTTATCGTGGAATTTGTATCAGCGCCATTTGGATCGAAGAATAAATCACGAGCCGGACAGCAAACAATCGAGGCGCTTCTGCTAATGTTCGCCACTTACGGCGCCGGCTCGACATCACTCTCTACTTGAATTGCAGAGTGTATAATGCAGTCGTCCGTTCAACTCTCTTTTACGGCTGTGAAACCTGGCACAATAGATCAGAAAAGTTAAAGAGGCAAGTTAGG